CACACACACACACACACACACACAGATATGATAATGAGGTGCAGGTAGCCCTCAGCAGCAGCTGCAGCAGATTGGTCGTCCCTGAAGACTCTGACTGTCCAAGTCGACGCTTCAAAGTGTCCTCATGTTTGTGCCTGCAGGCTTACACACATACACACACACACACACACACACACACACACACACACACACACACTTGTGCAGACACCGTCTCTGTGATTTTCTCTGTTTTGTTCACAGCAGACTCAGGTCAGAGGTCATCCTGTTTATCTGTTTTTGAAGCTCAGACACGAGTGAGAGGGTGAGGATGAATGAGTGAGGAAATACGATGACAGGTGAGAGTGTTACCTGGTCAGACGCGGTAGTTCTTCTGTCTTAGCGTCTCGGTCTGATTGTATTTCCATGAAGAAATGATCATAAATGTTCTTCCTTGAGCTGCGGCACCCCGCTGTAGTCTGTAATAGACTGGCCTGAGGTCTCTCTACAAACAAGCGTCTGCTGGAAGAGAGTAGGTGAGTTGTGTTTAGTCTCTTTGCTAAAGAAATGAGTCAAAGTTAAAAAGATGTTTGGTGTCTAGTACTATGTCTGTGACCCTATATGTCCTGTTGATGAAGTTAGGTGCTGTTCTGAGCATTATTTGTGGCTATAGAGTGGCGTTTTAGTTGGGGGCGTGGCTCTCTGTATTACTATCCTGCGGTCGTTACTAAAGTTGGTATAACTAGAGAAGGAAGCGGTCGGTGTCTAACTCAGTGTTACGGTGGGTTTGACCCTAAATTATTTTACAACAGAATATCCCTTTAACCGAAGACTCTCTCACTCTCTCTCTCTCGCGGCCTGAGGGCCGGTACCGGAAGTGCGCATGGCGCGCTCCCGTTTCCCGCGCAGCTAAACTCAGACCAACAGTTTCCCCGCAGCTGAAAGTCCTGAACCCTGAACAACAGTTCACCTGTTTACCTCTGAACTCTGATCTGTCGGTGTTTAAAGGGAACACAACCACACACACACACACACACACACACACACACTCTTACCTGCCGCCATCTTCACACCTGGAATCAAACCGGAACACTTCCCGATCCCTCGGTAAATAGCGCGAGGTGGTGCGCTTTTTCGGGGTCATGTGACCGCCGGACGAAAATCAATCCAAACTTTATTGATCATTACAAAGAGCTGAACACACAGAGCAACAGAAACAGACTAAAACAACGGAACACGCGCGCGCACACACGCACTCACCTGTGACAATAGTGAGACATGTTCTGGTCCATCAGTGTTCAGTCTGTTTTCAGGCAGGTCAGAGTGTATGGAGGCTCATTAATGCCACTTTAATCAGAGTTAAAATAACTGAATATTCAGGAGTCTGTGTTTGAATTATGATTAATTCAACTCTTTTATGATTTAAACTCTTTATTATAATTTAAACTCTTTATTATGATTAAAACTCTTTAATATGATTTAAACTCTTTATTATGATTAAAACTCTTTAATATGATTTAAACTCTTTATTATAATTTAAACTCTTTATTATGATTAAAACTCTTTATTATGATTTAAACTCTTTATTATGATTTAAACTCTTTAATATGATTTATTAAACTCTTTATTATGATTTAAACTCTTTATTATGATTTAAACTCTTTATTATGATTTAAACTCTTTATTATGATTTATTAAACTCTTTATTATGATTTAAACTCTTTATTATGATTTAAACTCTTTTATGGTTTAAACTCTTTATTATGATTTAAACTCTTTATTATGATTTAAACTCTTTAATATGATTTAAACTCTTTATTATGATTTAAACTCTTTAATATGATTTAAACTCTTTATTATAATTTAAACTCTTTATTATGATTTAAACTCTTTATTATGATTTAAACTCTTTAATATGATTTAAACTCTTTATTATGATTTAAACTCTTTAATATGATTTAAACTCTTTATTATAATTTAAACTCTTTATTATGATTTAAACTCTTTATTATGATTTAAACTCTTTATTATGATTTAAACTTTTTATTATAATTTAAACTCTTTATTATGATTTAAACTCTTTATTATGATTTAAACTCTTTATTATGATTTAAACTCTTTATTATGATTTAAACTCTTTATTATGATTTAAACTCTTTATTATGATTTATTAAACTCTCATATTTAGTGAATGTTTGTTTTCAGAGGTCGAGGGTAAAGGAGGACTGTCTGGACGTCTCTTGGAGGGTGGAGTTACTGTCAAAGACGGAGACAGCTGAGATGATTTTTATTTATTTATTTTTGTTTCTGATTATTTTTCTCGAGTTTCCAGAGCTGATGAAAAAAAAAGTTTATTCTAATTTAAAGGATTTGAAATATTTAAAAAGATTGAGAACTAAAGTGAAGGAGCGCTACAGAGTTACAGTGAGAGACAACTGAGACAGTCCTGCTGGGAGGACAACCTGGAGTCCAAAACCACGTCCACCTGGAGGACACTCAGGTGTCTCCGACTGTAAACTGTTGGACTGAAGCTGACGGTGTCTCACTGTGAAACACAGACTCCTCTGTCCCCACCTGTCCTCACCTGTCTGTCTCCACCTGTCCTCACCTGTCTGTCTCCACCTGGGCCCTAACCCTCCAGTTCCCATGATGCTCTGCTGTACCTGTGCGTTGCCGTGGTTACAAGTGTTGATGAGAAAGTTTGACTCTAAATGTCACCTCTGACTCTGCTGCTGCTGTTTGGATGCAGAGAGGAGGAGTGTGTTCAGAGTATTGACACACACACACACACACACACACACACACACACAGACACACACACACACACACACACACACACACACACACACACACACACACAGTGATAATGTGATGCTAATAAAGCAGTGTGTGTGTGTGTGTGTTTGGCAGAGGGCCGACTGGTGACCTTTACATGATGATGAAAGACAAATGTCAGCAGTGTAACAGTGTGTGTGTGTGTGTGTGTGTGTGTGTGTGTGTGTGTGTGTGTGTTAGAGACTTTGACTAAAGTTGTAAAACTGAAGGGTCTCCTCTGACAGATGAAGACGAGGGTCTGTCCTCTCAGGTTTTAGGGGTTCAGGTGAGTCTAGAATCTGCAGGTCTGGACTTGGACCTGTCAGAACCAGAGTCCAGAAGAAGGTTCTGCAGGTTCAGTCTGAACGTAGACTAAGATAAAACAGTCTGACATCTGCTCTCTCTCTCTCTCTCTCTCTCTCTCTCTCTCTCTCTCTCTCTCTCTCTCTCTCTCTCTCTCTCTCTCTCTCTCTCTCTCTCTCTCTCTCTCTCTCTCTCTCTCTCTCTCTCTCTCTCTCTCTCTCCAGTATTAATGGTAGAGCAACATTTATACACTTTTATCCCGTCAGACCGCCAAACACTCATCTGTATCCGTGTGAGATAGACCACCTCTACGCTCTGTAGACCCTGACTCTGTAGACCCTGACTCTGTAGACCTTCACTCTGTAGACCCTGACTCTGTAGACCCTGACCTGGTGGTCTTCAGGGTCAGACAGATGATAAACAGCTGATGGAGTAAAAGGGTGATGGTCTTAAACAGGGGCCCTTCTGAAGACCGTCTCCAGGGGCCCATCCTGCATTAACATCTGTATATTATTGTGTGTGTGTGTGTGTGTGTGTGTGTGTGTGTGTGTGTGTGTGTGTGTGTGTGTGGGGCCTCTAACTGAAGGGCCGTCCAATCAGCTCCTCCAGATCCTCAGGAGAGTCCGATCAGTCAGAGGCTCACACGGCTGCAGATATTTCACTGTTTATTCTCTGCTTCACCCCCCCCCCCCCCCCCCCCCCCCCCCCCCCTCCTCCTCCTCCCCCCCTCTACATACTAACCTTGTTTCGGTCTCTAACCTTCACTTCATCACTCGCTCCTCGTCCCTTTTGGTTTCTTTTCATTTCTCCGTCTCCGTCTTTCAAACCGAATTTCCCTCACTGACTCTGTGTGTGTGTGTGTGTGTGTGGTATATTAAGGTGTGCGTTGCCGCGGTGACGGGTAATGGGAAATTGATTGTGACAAAACGACATTACAGACGAACATTTCCATAAGAGTTTATTTACGCCGTGTTTCCGTGGGGAACATCATCTCCCTTCATATTCCTTCACGGTTGCCGTGGCGTTGATGTGATGCGAGCAGAACGGCAGCGGCACCCTCTGGGGGAATCGAACCCACGGCGTCCGCTAACAAATGAACAGCCCCTGCAAACGGGCCGCAGTCATCTTTTCATTTAACCCGAGCGCCGCTCCGGCCGCCCCGCTCTCTCTCCAAATCAAGACTTAATTTCATTCCCATGATGCCCTGCTTCAGCGCGGCGCAGGGTGTGTGCCAGGCGCTTTATTGGCAGATATGAAGGCGGTGGCGGGCGGAGCGGTAATTACTGCGGTAATAACCCGCTGCTGCTCATGTAAATAGAGACAAATCAGATGTATATTTACTGAAAACTCATTTTCAGCCAATCAGCAGTCGGCGGCAGAGTCAGCGAGTCAGACTGGGGGGGCGGGGGGGGGGGGTCTGTCTGAAACCAGCTTCTATCTGAGTCTCAGTCAGAGTTTACTCTACAGAGTAAACAACAGGCAGACAGACAGGGGCCAATCAGAGACCTCCGTTATGAGGAGCCAATCAGAGACTTCAGATAGTTCAGGACCTGAGAAATACTCTTATTCCTACTGGAGAAGTTTTAATGAAGGCCCTTCAGTTATATCCTAATATACCCTGATATATCCTGTTATATCCTGTTATATCCTGATATATCCTGTTATATCCTGTTATATATCCTGATATATCCTGTTATATATCCTGATATGTCCTGATATATCCTGTTATATCCTAATATTACCTGATATATCCTGATATATCCTGTTATATCCTAATATTACCTGATATATCCTGATATATCCTGTTATATCCTGATATATCCTGTTATATCCTGATATATCCTGTTATATCCTGTTATATCCTGATATATCCTGTTATATATGTTATATATCCTGATATATCCTGT